TCAGCAACCAGCACGGATCAGCTCCAGGCATGACGAAGCAGATATCGTCCTCTTTTGGAAGGCCAAACAAAGTAGTTTCGCTTTCACAACGAATCACACAGCGCATTCACAACATGGCGGCGGCGGCAACAACAATACTACAGCGAGAATAAAAGTTACGCCTTCTTTCTTTGCGTGAACATTTGGGCGGCGTTATGCAAATCTTCCCACATAGTGATGTAGATATGTGGGGGCGTGTTAGAATGAGCTGTTTTAGGTAGGCGTGACTGACTCTTAACTTTTATAAAGAATGTCTCTTCGGATTTGAGACTTTAGTCTTTGCAACTTTACAGATCTTCTCTATGCACCAAGAGCTTGTAACACTCCAAAGAGAAAGGAAAAATTGAAATCGCATAATATGACCCCTTTAAGACCCTAAAGAATCATATCAACTTGTAGAAAATGGGCATCATATGACCCCTTTAACACGGTCTTGTGAATGTCATCATTCAGATAATATTCACTTCTGACAAACATGTGTGATTGTATTTAACACATTTACATTCTGTACATATACAGTATGTACGGTGCAAAGAGACAGGAAGATGGATAAATCATCCTTTATCATAGCAGTAGGGATGTAACGATTCACTCAACTCACGATTCGATTTGATTCACGATTTTTAAGACAAATTATATATTAAATGTGTCCTTTTATTATTGCTTGGACAAAATACTGCACGTTTCTTTGTGAAACTGAAATATAACACTATAATAATATACTAATATAGCACTTGTAAATTATTGCTCTTTTGTTGGTTTTGATTGCTTCTATTGTCCTCATTTGTTAGTCTCTTTGGATAAAAGTGTTTGCTAAATACCAAAATTGAAATATAATGTAAATGTAAATAACAAAATTAAATTGAAATTTTTAAACAAGCCCCAAATCAAATAAATAAGTAACACAAATCAAATAAATATCTTCATATAAACAAAATAAGTCTTTGTCTGTGCTCTTTCCATTTAAAATTAGAGGCAACCAAATTACATTACATTACAAATTACATTGTATAATTTCGAAATTTTAAGCAAAAACAGAATGGTTTGACTTCAGTTTTGTGAAACCATGCATAAAAAATATCTGCATGAAACAAACAGCAGAGCTGAATGAGACGCAGATGCACTCTCTGCCAGCAGATGGCGCTTAAAGCGTTTCCTTGGTTTCCGCTGTAAACAAAGCATCGCTGCACTTATGAACTTTAATATGCGTTATACAGAGGCAAGATGAAAAGAAAAAATACCATCTAAACTTTTCTAAAGACAGTAAGTTCCCCTCAGACATACATTCATATAAACTCCTACCCTTAATTGAATCGCGATTTGTTGAGCACCTCAACCAATTTGAATCGTCACATATTTAAATCGATTTTCAACCGGCTCGCGGTTAATCGTTACATCCCTACGATATCAGGATTAACATATACTCTTATTAATGTAACATATACATTTAAT